GCGACCCACACCAGTCAGCTAACACCCAGGAACCTATTTTACTGCCAGGTGAACAGGGACAGCAGGTGTCTTAAGGAAACACCTCATTTTTCCAGCCGTACCGGGAATCGAACCATGGCTCTCAGTGTGTGGGCTGAGTACCCTAGCCATCGAGCTGCGGAACACCTAGAAGAACAAAAAGGCACAATACCGTGACTGGAACAATATACAGATAACCTGCACATAGGAGTGAGGATCTTACGACGACGTTTCAGTCCGACTTGGACCATTTAAGTCGTTATAAGCTCCTCTCTGCTATGTGCGGGTTATTTGTGTAAGGGACACCTAAATATGCTTAACTTGAAATATCTCATTATGATGGACAAGTGATCTACTAGTCCCTATTTGGACTCTTCTACTTTATTCAGACTTATTTGCTAGTTCTTTTTTAACAATATTTTTCTAACTTTTATTTGAGAAATTAAACGATAATGATAGTTTTAGTTTAATATGTTTATTAAGCACCCCACACCCATCCTGTGGGTGGTAGTCAAAAGATTACAGAGGTACATAATTGGTCCAGGGACTGGACTCCAGTTTTGATAGCTGAGCAAGTTACAAAGGTAATGAACTAGGTCTGGTCACAATCATGACCAAGTAACAAAGGTAATGAGCTCCAGGTAGAGCTGGTCCCACTCATGACTAATTACAAAGGTAATGAATCATCAACACGTTAATCGTGAGAATTTACGAAGGTAATGAGCTCCAGGTAGAGCTGGTCACAATCATAACAAGTTTCAAAGGTAATGAATCATAAACACGTTAATTAATACAAGGTTACAATTATGAACAAATTACAGAATAATGAGCAGTTAGCAAACATTTATTTATTTATTTAGTAATTTGATCATACATACAGAGATTTAGATTTTGCCACCGAAGTGGCTAGTTTATTGTGCACCCCATATCCACCCTGTGGACGGTAGCGCGAGAGCATATGGATACACAAAAAGCCTAGGAACTAGGCCCCAAAGGGTTAACAGGAATACATATGGATTTATATCTACATATCTATAGTTCACTTATCTGTTACAAGCAAATTTAGGGAATTTGCTTAGTATATCTGGTATCTTATTTTCATTAATAAGATATCTTGACATGTCACATAGGTTATTATACTGTCTATCTCTATATTCCTTAATAAGTGGACAATTAAGCACATAGTGTTCAAGGGAGTGACCATATCTGTTGATCAACTTAATTTACATTTAGTTTGATCATCATCTGTGTGTCTCCCAAACTGCCAGAAGTACTTGTAACCAAGCCTAAGCCTGGCCACTACAACATCAGTCAGTCTGTTCACATTGCAAGTTGCTCCATAAACATACTTATCTATGTTAATGTTATCATAGTGGGTTATAGATCAACGCAGACTTTATTCGTATACACTAAGAAATATTCACCTCTGTGCATATCTTGTGTCTCCCTCGTTACACTATTTGTAATCTTCATTATTATTACATTTATGGGAGAGCGCTAAAATCATAGGGGCCATACAGCACCCAGGGAATGGAAAGCAATAGGACTCGTTCCAAGGAAATGGAATGTAATTCCAATTCTTTGGATCAAGATCACTTCACCGGCATCAGGAGTCACTATTTTGTAAGGGTCGTTGTTCTGGAATTATTTACTTGCCAGTAAGAACATGGTTAACACCGGACTGCTTTATCGCGTCGTGTGTGCACATTATCACATTAATTCATCACATATATATCAGTTGAGAATTCATCGATAGGTTGTTGACATCGTACACTTGCACTATAATTAATTTTCTGATAATGAATTTCATTCCCAGTGGTATTTTTCTTATTGAAAACGATAGTAATAGAATTTATTGCTGTGGCAACTCATTTATATAATACACTATTTCAGAAGAACTTTATCGATTAGATATTTTGCAAGAAAACATCATCAAACCATCAATCTTTGTTTTCTTTCTAGGTTATGAGTATTTTTTATCTTTGCAAAAATTTCAAAGCTATCTTAAAATATTTTTTCTTTCATTTTGTAGTAGTTGTATATATGTTATAATTAGTAAATTTTTTTTAGTAAGTAAGTAAGTAAATTTATTCAGGTATACACAATACAGTTACATAGAATTATCATACATAGCAGCATATGTGTAGAGAACCTAGGATAACCCAAAAAAGTCAGACAGTGACTTATTTCCATTGGGGTCCTTTTACCTTATTATTATAATATAAAGGTTATAATATTTTCTTATTATTCTATAATGAAGATAACATCTTATTATCATACTAAAAAGACTATCTACTACACGAGGGTCATTAAGACTATCTACAATACGAGGGTCATTAAGACTATCTACTACCCGAGGGTCATTACGACTATCTACAATACGAGGGTCATTACTAGGGATAAGGTAAAATTTACACGTATTTTAGCTAAAAAATAGAAAATCATTCCCCTCCCTTTCTGTTGCTTCATTCATCAGACACTTTTTGGCAGTCATCTTGAACTGGTTCAAGCTATGACTGGCCTTGACATTTGTGGGTAGTCTGTTCCATTCCTTTATTGCTGTACAATAAAAGGTGTTTGAAGCCTGGCCACTGACTGTGGGTACTACAAAGTTGTGCTCTCTCCCCCTAGTACTATGATTGCTTTGGTTCCCAACCTTGACAAAATTGACAGCAAGATATTCTGGACACTGTTCGTGAGCAATTTTATAAACATGATTTAGCTTCAGTTGTTTTACTCTGTCTTCAACATTCAGCATATCCAACTGCTGTAATTCATCCTGGCCTACATGTTCTCTTGGTCCCAGCCCCAGGATGAATCTTACGATTTTGTTCTGGGTGATTTGCAGTCTATCTTTCAGTTTTTTTGTCAAGGCAGAGTACCAAGAAGAGCAAGCGTAATCCATATGGCATTGTATAAGGGCTAGACATAGGGTCCTGCGAGCCTCAGTAGGTAGACACTGTGCTTGTCTATACAGGAATTTCAGCCTGGCATTCGCTTTCTTTACTACACTGTTCCCTATCAATTCTCCTGACCTGGCGTTCGGTCTTTCGTCTTATTTGCCGTAAATACCTGGTATTGGAAGATATCCTAGAGCAACTGGAACCGTTCCTTTCAAGACGTGTGTAGTGGAGGAGGGAACACTGAAGACGTGTACAGTGTGAACACAGATGACGTGTGTACTGGAGGTGTGAACACAGGTGACGTGTGTACTGGAGGTGTGAACACAGGTGACGTGTGTACTGGAGGTGTGAACACAGGTGACGTGTGTACTGGAGGTGTGAACACAGGTGACGTGTGTACTGGAGGTGTGAACACAGGTGACGTGTGTACTGGAGGTGTGAACACAGGTGACGTGTGTACTGGAGGTGTGAACACAGGTGACGTGTTTTACTGGAGGTGTGAACACAGGTGACGTGTGTACTGGAGGTTTTGAACACAGATGACGTGTGTACTGGAGGTGTGAACACAGGTGACGTGTGTACTGGAGGTGTGAACACAGATGACGTGTGTACTGGAGTTGTGAACACAGATGACGTGTGTACTGGAGGTGTGAACACAGATGACGTGTGTACTGGAGGTGTGAACATAGATGGCGTGTGTACTGGAGGTGTGAACATAGATGGCGTGTGTAGGAGAGGTGTGAAAACAGATGACGTGTGTAGGGGAGGTGTGAACACAGATGACATGTGTACTGGAGGAGATTTTTAGATTTTGCCACCGAAGTGGCTAGTTTATTGTGTACCCCATATCCATCCAGTGGACGGTAGCGCGAGAGCATGTGGATACAGAGGAACAAAAAAATACAAGTAAGATCAGCATGCCAAAGCCACTTGTATGCATAGCATTACGTGCTGGCTTAAAATTAACTTAAGATTAACTAAGCAATGATGTAATCAGTGGTAAAACATTATTGTAAACAGATAACAATAAAGCACAAATGAGTATTAGGGAATTCATCCATTGCCCCAACAACAGATGTTGTTAGGTGCCTGTCCCTCCTCGGCAGGACAAATAATAAAGTTCTTTCTTTCTTTCTTTGTTGGGTTCATCAGGGCCACTGACAGGATAAGCCGTATCGAGCCCGGCTTCCCGATGGCACAAGGACGATTTGTTGCCCAAGGCTGGGCGATGAGAGTAAAGAACAAAAGTTTCTTTGTAAATAGAGATAGAAACTTGAAGTTTCCAATCAGATCTGGTGGATCCCTTGCCAAGCCCCAGTAGAGAGGGACGCCCACACCCCCCAATCCTGAGTTCAGTAACCGGCTTCCCAGCAAAGACCGTTAAAGAAGTATCCGCAGAGCGGAAAAAAAATGGAGCTGGCTAAAAGTAAGCCAATGAACAGGTGCCCCTCCTGTAGAGTGCCCGGCGGGCAAAATAGATAAGGACAAGCGTCCCAGAGAGAACGGGGGAAATTTATCACCGATACTCAGGCGAGAGAGAGACGTCCACACCCGACGAAGGCTGGCGTAGAAGTCTGATAATGAGTTGCTCCCGGAGTACCAAAGTTTTGATAGCTGAACTAGGTACAAAGGTAATGAGCTCACAAGTTACAAAGGTAATGAATTCTGTAGAATGGTTACTTACGTTTATACTTTGGCTACAATCATGAACAAATTATAGAGTAATGAGCAATTCACACTTCCACACCCGGTCCCTGGACCCATTACGTACCTCTGTAATCTGTAAATACCTTTGTAACTTGTCATGATTGTGACCAGACTTACCTGGAGTTCATTACCTTTGTAAATTGTGAGTTCATTACCTTTGTAAATTGTGAGTTCATTACCTTTGTAAATTGTGAGTTCATTACCTCTGTAACTTGCTCAGCTATCAAAACTTTGGAGTCCAGTCCCTGGACCAATTATGTACCTCTGTAATCTTTTGACTACCGCCCACAGGATGGGTATGGGGTGCATAATAAACATATTAAACTAACTCCCGGAGTACCGGGAAGTCTGGCTCAAGACGTAACTTTGGTGGTCCTTAATAACCACCACAACACAACAATGGCGCGTGGTCGAGCTAGGTCGAGTCATAAACACTACAGGAATAATGCTAAAAAGAAAGAAAAAGCTGAAGATCTACCAAACAAAAGACAATATGAAGAATTTGGAGAAGCTCACCCAATTGGCGAAGAAGATTTAAACGTGAAAAGAAGGAAGGTACGCCATGTTAACTAACATAAACACAAGACTCGCGAAATCGTAATAAACTCAAGTCTAGCGCTTTGCTGGGCAGCCACATCAGTGACATGAGTATACTACTAATAATAATCTTTATTTCTACAAGTACGTATAGAAGGTATACAGTCCTAGCTGACATCAGTGACATACTACTATACAGAAAGCCCCTTGTTATGCAGAACATTTCGGGCAAATTAGGTCAATTTTGTCCTAGGATGCGACCCACACCAGTCGACTAACACCCAGGTACCTATTTTACTGATGGGTGACCCTCAAAGGAGGTTCCTTGACGCTGGTGAGGGGCTCTTTATGTAGGGCATTGGATCTGTGTTCCGGTTCCCTAAATTGAGCCTGAATACCTTCCATCCCCCCACATGGGGGAGTGCTAATCCTACGGGTTTAGCGCTCCCCTATGGTTATAATAATATTGATGGGTGAACAGGAACAGCAGGTATCTTAGGGAAATACATCATAATGTTTCCACCTGAATCAGGGATCGAACCATGGTAAGGAAGTTTATTCGGATGCAGTTTATTCAGCCGACATCCTCAAGATCCTTTCCAACGTGGTGAACTTTACTGCACCTGCAGACCTGTCTCCTGCCCAAGCAACTGCTCCTGTAGCTTCTATAACCACCTCCACCACCGACAACGATGAACATGCTGCCTCAGCCACCGTCTCCCAACCTGCTGTTACACCACCATTACATCTTTCCAATGCTCCTCTCATCCCCAAATCACCTGCTAACACCACTGTGGACTCACCAAATTAATCCACTTCAGAAGAAGATAGTGAGGATTCCAGTACATCTTCATGGGAAAACCTTACCTTCTACGCTTCTCCATCGAACTTTCACCATGACCTGCACTGAGCTCTACAAAGGCCATGGTGCTGGAACAGTCAAGTATGCTTGTGAATCACCTCTTCACTTCACACTCCCAAGCTCTTGAGTTCATCAAGCCTCTACATTTCACCTTCAGGGCCCAAAAATTTGGAATTCATTACCAGCGAATACCAAAGGAACCCTGTCTGTACATCAATTCAAGACTTCTTAAAAACCACCTACTCACTCAAAACTAAATACTCAGTACATAACCTTACCAACAAAACTCAAATTATAATTGTTCACTGTGTTACTCCCCTAGCCTCAGAACCTCAAAAGTAAATGCTCAAGAGTACAATAAATTCTCATATTTTAACGGAAATATTTTCACGCAAATGTTGAATAACATATATTTGACGTAAGTATAACCTATTGTATAATTAGTGCAACCTGATCAAACTATGTTTTGTATGTCTAGTGTTAAGTAATCAGTACTCCGTTAAGTTTAGACTGCCCGTAATGCCAAGGCATGATAGTGGCTCTCATTGCACTACAAATCATTGTGAGCCCTCACTGTAAAATACCTATGTATACATGTGTATATACTTCCTACAATATGTCAACCACATCGTAAACTTGCAAGGAAATAAAAAAATCTAAATCTAAATCTCTCCAGGAGCAGCTTCAAAAAGTTTGAAAATGGCTCCACTGCAAACCTGCCTCCTCAATTACTCCTATAACTGGCACCTGTGTGCTGCCCTCTGATATTCCTACCTACCTGCCTTCTCCTGCAACCTAGAAGCTGACAGCTTCTCAAGACTCAAGACCTCAGCTACCATGAGACCAATGCATACACACCTTGCTCTTCCTGTTTCCCCCAAGTTCATCCCACAAGCGCCTAGCAGCTGGGTTAAGCCCTGACTCTTTCTTCGACTGTGGACACTCCTCTCCACAACTATTCTTCGCCTATCCTGTCTTCCCAGCTCACCCCACATGGGGTCTTACCTAAACACTCTTAATCTTGATCTTGATTCAGATACAGGTACACATAAATACTTATATAATTTGTCATACATACCAGCATATGTGTAAATTATCAAGGATAACCCAAAAGTCAAACTGTGACCTATTTCCACTGGGGTCCTTATAATTTTTTTTTTTTATTATCACTCTGGCCGATTCCCACCAAGGCAGGGTGGCCCGAAAATTATTATTATTATTTAAAATTATTATTATTATTTAAACCTTAACAGTTATAAAATGCTCATTAATTCAACTATGTGATAAACAGTTACAATAAAGGAGATATACGGAAAAAAGGTAAACGAGTTTTAAACATTAAAGAGAGATCAAATGACAGAAATAGGTACGTTTTTACATGGATGTTAAGAAATTGGTACATTTACTTTGGTATCAAAAATTTTCTCTTCTTCTGTAGCTTCTTCATTAGGTCCCTTTTGGCTCTTTCCGAAGGGCTCATGCATGACAGACTTTGACATGGCAAGTAATCTTTCGCTTTTTTTTGCTGAACTAAAAGGTTTTAAAGGTGCCCCAACTACTGTAGGATGAAAAGTTTCCCCTTTCCCCCTAGTATATATTGTTTAGGTTCCCACCTTGACAAATTTGGGCAGCAAGTTTTCTGGTCATTGTTTGTGGGCGTTTTTACAAATGTGATTTAATTATTTTTTATTGTCTTCAAATCAGCATATCCATTGTTGTAACCCCTCCTGGCCTACATGCCTCTTGGGCCCAGGTCCAAGTGAACTCACCTTTTTGTTCTGGGTGTTTTTGTGGTTGTCTTTAGTTTTTTTGTTAAGGCAGGACCATGAAGAGCAAAGTAATCATAGGGCTTACAGGGGTGGGGTGGTGGGGAAAACAGCGATGGCCCCCACCCCAAAACCAACGATACAATAAAATGCCGGAAAAAAAACCCCCCCAGTCCCACATCCCCCAGCCCGATCATTTTTTTTGAAAAATTTTACAGGGTTAAAGCAGCAACAAACAAAAAAATCCCTTTTCATCCGGGGACTGCTTGCAGAGGCAAAGGAAATTTTCGGGGCTTCACGGGAAACCACATAAAGGACCTTTTGGAAACAAAAATATGGACCCCGGGTTTTAAACCTATACAGATGTGACAGGTGAAAGGAAAAAGGGGGGGGGGTTTGGGCCTGTACATTGCAGAGTCATTTTTGACAAAAATTGCTTAATGCCTCAAAGACGTAGTGGAAGTTTTAGAGAAAAGGCGAAAACCAAAAACCTAGTCATTGTGGTAGTTCAAGCCCCCCGGATGCAACATCCCAGAAATTCCCCGGGAAACAGCTTTTTAAAATTGACCACTGCGGAAAATCTCCAGCCCCTCACCCACATCTTGCCCCTGGGGGTTTTCAATTAAGGCCCAAAAATGGGGGAATATAGAAAATAATTTGTTGCAGAATAACCCCCGGAGGCACTTGATAAAAAATCACACTCACCAGCTTTTTAAATCTCTGCACAAAGTTCAATTTAAACCAGCAAATAATGACCCTACTAGACGGGAGAATACACTAACCTATCTTCACTAACAATGATGATTGAAAAGAAATGTCACAATATAAAAAAACAATATACTCAGTCCCCAACAAATTGGGGTTAGACATGTATGCTGGAGCCCCAGCCCAAAAAAATGAGACTTCACAGGGGTTTTCACCAATTCAACTTCAATAAAAAAAAACAAAAAGTGGGACAAGAAAACCAAGTCCAAACCCGATAAAAATTTGGGAAGATATACTAACAAACAGACCCAAATTATCCTAGAACAGATTAACTGGGGCCTCATGTAGCCAAGGCTTTTTTCCTCTAAAAAAAAGGAGGAGTAGAGTAAAAAGAAAGAGACAGGCCTCCCTTACAGGCGACGGAAAAAAATAACAGAGCGGCTAAAAGAGGTCAATATATCTAAAAATGCGCAGGGGAACTGGTCAAGAAATAGCAAGCATCGAACTTAAGCTAAAAAATCCTTTAGGATCGGGAATCGGGGAAAAGAACTAAAAGCCAAAAAAGGGAAATCGAAGAAACCCAAGTTTTTCTTCCCCTATGCAAATAAAAATCGAAACAACCCCAGTATTGGGGCCCCCCACTTAAAAAAGATGGGTCCTACCAGATGACAGAAAGGAAATGAGTGAGTGCTCAAGCCCCCAATATGACTCAGTTTTAGAAAAACCGCAAACCCAAAATGGAGTGAAGATAAAAATAAATTTTTTTATGAGAGAGCCACAAATTTGATTAACAAAACCAAAGATGTTATCCTGACCCCCAAAATGATTTGAACAGGCGTAAATGACAGCCATGCACTTGCCCAGGCCAGACTCAGGAACCTGTGTTCATCAAAAAACTGAAAGAAGCCCCTATCCGAGCTTTTCCATCCTATGGAGAGGGGCATGGAAAAGGGGGTCGCCCCCTCGTTACTAAAAACAACAACTACCCCCCACTCACAAGGGGGGCAGTAAAGCAACAGCAAAGAACACAGCCCAATAGCACTAACACCCTTCATAAAAATCTTTGAAAGGGCCCAAAGAAGAAAGATCACCCCCCATCTAGAAACCCTCAGTTACCAACGGGCAACATGGTTTTTAAAAGGTCGCTCCGTCTGCTCAACTATTTGGATCACTCACAAGGTCCTAAATGCCCCTAGAAGCCCAAAAGAATACAGATGTAATATATACAACTTTGCAAAAGCCTTCGACATTGTGCCTGCTATTAGCGCACAAAATGCGCACTAAGGAATAACAGGAAAAGTCGGATCGATGGATCTATAATTTCCTCAACTAACAGAACACAGAGTAGTTCGTCAACAGAGTAAAGTCCGAGGCGCTACGGTGAAAAGCACTGTTCACAAGGACACGTATACTCCATTTGTTCCCATCCTCTTCGACATGACAGGTGTCGCCACAGAAGTGTCTTCCTTTGCAGATGACACCGAATCTGCTGACAGTGTCTTCCTTGCGACACTGCAAGGCTCAGGCGGCATCCAACAAATTTTCAGTGGGCTGCAGTAAAACATATGTAAGTTCAACGATGAGAAATTTCAATACTCAGATATGGTAAACATGTAGAAATTAAATCTTCATCAGTACAAAACAATTCTGCCACAAATAGGGTAATAACAAACGTCAAAGACCTG